AAGACCAGCCTTAGCAAGACCAAGACCCGTCTCTACTATAAATAGAAAGAAATTAATTGGCCAACTAATATATATAGAAAAAATTAGCCGGGCATGGTGGCACATGCCTGTAGTCCCAGCTACTTGGGAGGCTGAGGCAGGAGGATCACTTGAGCCTAAGAGTTTGAGGTTGCTATGAGCTATGCTGATGCCACAGAACTCTAGCCCAGGCAACAGAGTGAGACTCTGTCTCAAAAAGAACCCACAATTTTTTTTTAGAGACAAAGTTGCTATATTGCTCAAGCTGCCTCAAACTCCACACTTAAGTGATCCTCCCAGCTCAGCCTCCCGAGTGGCTGGGACTACAGGCATGCACCACCATGCCTGGCCTGCGAACTCCTGACCTTTAGTGATCCTCCTGCCTCGGCCTTCCAGAGTGCTAGGATTACAGGCATGAGCCACTACACTCAGCCAAAAATACCTGTTTTTTAAAGATAAAAAATTAAAAAATAAAAATAAAGGATAGAAAACAATACATTGTTATGTGAATAAACCAAGGTGCAGAACAACATGTATCTGGGAGATCTCTTCCTATCAGTACACAGAGCTTCCTTATTCTGTTTTAACTTGCATGCTATATAAAACTTTTTGATAAATCAGTCTACTATCATTGGACATGTATGTTATTCACAACCTTTTGCTGCAATGCTTAATCTTATATACATGCCATTTCATACATGTGAACCTAACGACATACATGTGAGTCTAACCATAAGATAAATTGCTAGACACGGAAACTCAAGGTCAAGGGATATAAGTGTTGTAATTCTGATAAATATAGCCAAATTGCCCTCCTCAGTAGTTATAACAATTTTCACTCCCACTTGTGACATGAAAGTTTAAATTTTACACTGCACTGAATCTAAACAGTACCAATGGCTTACTTTCTAGATGCTTGCCTGAAAATATCCTACTTTTACCGCCTGATTATGTAACAAATAGGATTCTAAAAACACCTTCTGTAACACAGAAATCTGCATAATTTTATCATTGCCATACAAAGTTTTCTGACTGAGGCCAAGAAAGAAGGAAGCTAAAAGAAAGGAGAAGCTGAGATTCTCCATTCTTAGCTGACATGCACGCAACATTAAGTATTTTCCTCTATTCAGCATAAAAGACTTAAAACTTTCTACTTACTACACAAAGTGTTAGTGATGTGAAAATTTAGCCAATTGTGCTATTTATTTTAACCAACAAAAGCTCAGGCATGTGCCACCATGCCCGGCTAATTTTTTCTATGTATATTAGTTGGCCAATTAATTTCTTTCTATTTTTAGTAGAGACGGGGTCTCGCTCTTGCTCAGGTTGGTTTCGAACTCCTGAACTCAAACGATCCACCCACCACAGCCTCCCAGAGAGCTAGGATTACAGGCGTGAGCCACCACGCCCGGCTTAAGCTTCATCTGTATTTACAGCCCTTCCCCATTGCTGGTATCGCCACCTGAACTCCGCCTCCCACCTCTCACCCCACACCCCTGTAGAAAAATTGTCTTCATGAAACTCATCCCTGGTGCCAAAAAGGCTGGGGACTGCTGTCTTAAAAGAAACAATTTCCAGTACTCCCAAAGTAATTTAATAGCAAATTGTGGTAAGTGCTACAAAGG